TACAACCAAAAGCCAGTATCTAATACTACAGGTTCGTTGATGTGCAAATAAGAAACTGTAAAATCCTGATTTAAAATCTTTCAAAAATAAATGTATGAATTGGTACCAAACTAGCCCAGTCAAATCTACTTTGGCTTGAGCAACCTGACAGTATCGCGCCCACAGATAAATCATGTACTCTCATTTGTAATTTCCATCGAGATGCTTGCACGATAACCGGTTCCCTCTTTCGCCTCACTGTTGCAGTACGCTCTAAATGACAAAAATCGACCCAACAGGCATTAGGAAACTAATAGAAGACGGATTGACTAAAAGAATGTTGACCATCATCTTCACACACTCTTTTCGAACTGTATTTCCATGAAATTTGAACATCAGAGCTTTCGTTAGCTGACCTGTTCATTTCCGAAATCGCACAGGTTGTCCTAGTGATTTAGGGACACGCAACCATCCGTTGTTGCTTCAGGCATAAACGAAGTGTGTGATACATGGACGGACGATTGAGCAACTTGGCAATTAGAGCCTTGATTATTTCAGGGTTATTAGGGTCTCACTTGTATGATCTCGAAGAGTTTAATACGTTGAATAATTGTTTCCGCTTTTCATCAAGCTACTATCCATTCCAACCGATAGTGCTTATCGTACAACAATATGGAAAAGCTAGGTACTGGGAGGTCCGCTTGTTCCCGAATGAATTTTCAATTCCCGAATGATCGATACATGCTTGTGCTTACCAACCCACCTAGTGACCAGCAAGACATGGTAGTGGAGGGTGGAGGTGGAATCTGTGCACGAGTGTCTTGCATAAACTCAAGCCACCAAATGTTCAGTTCGAGATCCAGAAAAAGTAAACATACTAATATGCAGTGAAATGGATGGATACACATATGGAACGCTGGATAGAGGGGTGGGGAAGGTAGATTCCCATTCCCATGTCAACAACAATAACAATCAAATAGTGTTGTGCCTCTTGAATAGAATTTTTTTATTACGCACATGATTGTGATGAACGGCAGACGGGGTGGACCTCATAATCACGAGGACCTGGTAATCAGTGGTGGAAACCGGGAACCTAAGCCGCGGTACTTGGAGTGGCGAACCACATAAAGGCTCCGATTGGTTAGACGTGGTATTGAACTGGACGACAGCAAAGCTGCCTCTACCCTATGATCTGTTACCGAACCCAGAAATAGAAACTGACATGCGTCTATTGCGTTCCGCCCAGATCAGGATACACATGGTTCAGATCGATGGGAAGAACAATAAAGGGAGAGAGGGGAAAAAATTGTTATTCGCCATTTGCTCCCATCCCCGAATCACATATGTTAATCCACCATTATGTCTATAGAGGAGGATAACAAATTATCAAACGAACCCCACGCATATGGGTCTTGTATATTTTTGCTCTAAGGACTGACTGTTTCTGTATACATTCACGCCAAGACGAGTCGGGCACATGTGTTATTCGAATACCACCGATTCCCTACACACAGTTGTGAACACGGGGGCTAATGCGCAAATCACAAGTTTTTAAGCCGTATACAAGCCCATGATGGGGACAGACAGATGCGTACATGCACAATCATGATTCCGTCAGAAGGGAGGAAATTGAATCTCGATTGGATAAACACGAGAAGAGTGAGTACCCGCTCCACGCTATCGATCGTCACGCACAAAGACATGTGTATGTGTGTGTATATGCTGCCGAGAACGGATCGCATATGGACGTGGTGTGTGTGTGGGGCGGGCGGTGGCAGAGTGGATTGAATTGCATACTTNACTTTTTGCGATCATCCAGACATCGATCCTTTGCCAGGCATAAATAAAAAAGATCTGTTTTGCCGGGTTCCCCTAGTATTATCGATCGCCAGTTTTCCCCAATAGTCGAGTAACGTTCGATCATAGCTTACAATCAAACAAGCGGATTGTTTATCCACTTTGTTTTCATCAAGTTCAAGGTTACATAGTAATTCAAAATTTGAAAACAAATTGTTCACCCATTTTTTCATGCCTTGGCAACCAGTTAGGGGAAACACGAATACAGATAAACAACAACAACAAAGGCCGAAGCAATAATAACCTCTGTGGGAGATGGGAAAATGTCCCGCTAGATAGATACAATCAAAACACACGGATGGGACCAGCAATACTTTTCCATCTGTGCTTGCGACAGGGATACCTGTAACTGTGTACTTTTACTTTCTGATTCGGTTTCTTATTACAGTAGCGTTTTTGTATTTATTGCTCTGCGTGTGCACGCAAGATTGTGATTTGGGGAGAACAGTTTACCGAAAAGCCCCATAAACACTGCTTCACAAAATTTACTCTAAAAATCCGGCACTACATGTGACAGGGATCAACAAATTGTGTGTGTGTGTGTGTGTGTGTGCGAGCGGGGGCGCTGGTCCTCACTCCATCGCCTTCAAATGCGACGACGATACAACGTAAACAAAACACCACGTGACCCTCGTGAATGTAAGAGAGATTTCACGTGCGCATCACTACCACCGCGTGTATTTCACGTTCCCTAAATTCAAATGCGTCCCAGTGCGCTTTTCACGAAGAACGCAGATTAGATTAGATTTAGGGCAAATTAAGTTTATGGTGGTTACAAATGTTAGAAATTAGTTGAAAGCAAGCGCCATTCGAAACAGATGAAAGCCACGTGACAGGGAAGTTGCATGTCAATGGTCTAAGGGAAGGCTTAATTTTTGATCTATTGGGGATTTCCGATGGTTTTCTTTTCTCGGAGCTACCCGTTGGTTCGTTACCAATGTAAACCAACCTTTCAGGTACAATGACCAAGTTGATTGCACTCATTCGTGGCCCAATCTTACGTGTCTTTACACCCCCATTTTCCCTCAGCAACTTGCTGCAACTGTCTGATATGAATCTGGAAAACGACAAAGTTCCCTTATTCCTTTTCAGAGTATCCAGTTCAGATAAGTCCGTTCGGTTGTTCAGAGGTATCAGGCACTCTTGATGGTCTGGGGTGTGGGTTTCGCTACTTGGGAGATCGGTAATTCCCTACCAGTTGAGTGCGATGAGTAATTAACGATTTCCCAAGGGGTGAAACCCACACCCAAGACCATCAAGAGTGCCTGGTACAATTGAATGGGCTAATCCCAACTCGATAGTTTAAACTGATTGAGCCATTCGCACAAAGTGATGACCGTCGAACGTGAGGCTCAGAGGTAAGAGTTTGGAGTCCTGACCGGAATGTTCCTGGTTCGAAGCACAAAAAGTACTCATTACTGACGAGTTCTCGTGCTCTTTGTCGGTTATCACAAATATTTCCTAATCGAAAATTTCTTTATCTCCTCGAAAATTTCAAGCGATTTTAAAGATGACATTATGTCAACGACAGGTCAATGAGCCACCACAGTATGCGAAAACCCAAGCCAATTACGAGGAAAGAAATGGACACGCATCTGGTAAGAATCAGTACTGGCAAATCTATAGTTGACATCACATCGCATCACACTGTACAAACTGTTGTTCCGATAAGAGGGATTTTCAAACTGTGCCCGATAGATACACATTCGTGCATCGAATTTCTACCAACCGGATAAGCATGTAAAGCGTTCCGGATGACTTGAGAGAACCCATGGGAACCAGAACAGTTGATTCGGTTTAACAAGCAACTGGCAAACAATCGGATCAGAACAAACTGTATCACTGAACATCTAATTCGAAACGTATCGGTCAGTTGGGCCCTGGACATGGAGTATGTCCCAGCTAACTGATACACACGCGTTGGCGTTCGACACTGGATAACAGAGACAATAAGAATTAAAAAAATCAACTACGCATCGGCAACGAGAAAGGGAACCACGTAACGTGATTAAGAATTTGAATTTCTTCGACACCTGTGTTTCCGGCCCCTAGAACTTAAAGTTTGGATTCCTCCCTCTCCTACAATCTCGATCAGGCGCGGTCTACTGATGTTCACCAGTCCAATTACTAGTGAACCAAGGGGGGAGGGGGTTCCAAACAAAGCAATAAACTAGATCCCCATAGTTATCGATCTTAACAACCGTGCTATAATACAAAATAGATATTGATTACGTACACTAGATTGGTGTTGTCATTTTGGGAATAAGGGGATACCCGCAATACGGCTAGCTCTGCCCGGATTTACAAAACCACACTGGCGAATCTGGACTCGGTGTGAGCTTACGACGGAAAGTTCATCGAACCTGGCCGGAGGGTGCGTTCAAGTGTATTGCCAGCTCATTACATGATGTTTGGACGACCACCGTTACCCCAATGAGAGGAAGAAGAAGATGAATAGACCGTGCGTGTCAACCACATAAGCACGAAAAGTTCGTGAAACTTCTTTTTTTCGCTGGGGGGGGGTGGAGTTCGTCTCACAAACTGTACGCGCCTCGAACGGACAGAGTGACGAAGCCAGCTGTTAGACATTGTTGGTAGAAGCGGAATTCATGAAGGTTCACAACCGGGATTTGTCCAACTAGCCACCGTATGCGATTGGCGTTGTTTACACCGGTCTGGATATTTTTGGTGAACCGCTATTGTGAACAAGGCAATGGAATTCGCTTGGTAAAACTTGTTTCTTCTGTGCACAGTGATGTGATCTAATTGATGTCTTCCGAAGCTTTTCCGAAAGAAAACATACATACACACATAGCAATGATTCTTAATGTGAGAACCGAGTGTGAAACTGGGCTGCCCCCTTTGACGATCCGATCGTCTATGAATGCCCCCGGCTGATCATCAGCACCATCCGAGTGACCTTTATCACCATCTCCATCATCAATAACGTGAGCTCTGACACCCTCCCGTCGCCTCGCCCTCATTTACGCTTCTAGCAGACCTTGAGCATGGTTTTTATACCGTAATCAAACGCCTATCCTTGTCTTCTTTTCAAATCAATGCCTGTTACCTTTTTGCATTATTGCAAAATCCCGAAGGAAAATTATTTTGGTCATGTAAACAAAAAGGAAATAGTGTGTAAACTTGCTAAGGAACGGTTATGATTAAATCGATCGATCAATTGCATCCAGACTTACATGTGCTTGTAGTGCGGCTAACAAACAGGCCTCATCATCGGTTGCCTCAATCGCTTCAGTAATCACAGACCATTTGGCTTGTTCGTAAAGCTGATTAATTCGAACGGCGTCATACTTCACGTTCAGGTCGTAAAAAGTTCCATACTTATACCGCAACCATAGAATTGGGACGGCAGTGGAAGAGGAGGAGTCCAATTTCGATTCTGTTCGACTTAGGGTACGCGATTGTGGAGCGCCACCAGCTACAGTGGTAACATCCGGGGGTGATGACGGCTGTGACGGCGGTGCTGGCTCGGCCAAATCTGCTCGATAACTCATATCGATTCCTTGTTCCATTAGAGAACGGGCCGAGTCAAGCCAGGTGCTGTTCAGACGAAGCCGTTGCAGAAACCCATTTGGACGCACCAGATAGCCTTTATAGCAGGCATCTTCAACACCAATCACTGGACTTGAGGCCAGATAGGGATCTTCGAATGTGCGCAGTTCAAATGCCAGTGTGTGCATTGACCCCGGTGAACAGGGTGGGCCGAAGCGAGACAAATTAACTGAGTTGGCTTTCGAAAGTCTGTACCAACTGGGACAAACCGGTCCCGTAGTCCCATGACCCCGATCACGCAGACGTGGTGGACCGAAGAGGTGCTCTGAAGTTTGAGATACGCTGGTTGCACTCTTTCTACGAGACAAAGTGACTGTTAATTCGGGAGAATTTTCTTTGCTAAATTTGCCCAGCGTGTTATAATTTGGAGATTGTTTGGTTTGTGTATGGGTTGTGTTGATCGTTGCACTACGTTGGAATGGCACACGTCTGCCTAAAGTGGTTACCGCGTGTAGACGACGATCGATCACTGCGGGGACAAATCGGGTATGCTTTAGATCCGTTTGTGTGATTGGATAGCATAGGGAAAGTTCTTCCGGGTGACGTATATTCAACTGACGACAAATGGATACGGTCACACGAAAAACGGGGTCTGCGTAGTTTACATCCACGAAATCACGTATCTGTAGGTCGGGTAACTGCACTCGGAGACGTCCGTACACAGGAACTAAGCGAAGCAACGCATCGGCTTGGAGACCATACTGATTTAAACTGATTCTGGAATGAATAAGCCATCGGGATTTGGCTGGCCACCACAGTTGATGATCTCCCCATCCAGTTCTCACTCCACCTGAGCGTAGACTGATTTCATGTGGTTTGGGTGGTTTGGTCAGCGGAGCAGGCAATCCCTCGGTGAGCTCGGTCAAAAGTTCACCAACAGACCAATCACCTTGAACACGAACTTGACGATCGATATTCAGTGCATCTATATGCACGGTGAGAAGCCAAGACCCATCAACATAATGTCCGTCTGCTAACATAATGTGTGACGATGTTGGTGTTGATGTTGTTGTTGCTGATTTTGCTGACGCTGATGTTGATGGTGGCGCTCGTTCCCACACTGAATTGAAAACAACAATCAGATGGAATTCACGGCTACCTGTACTCTCCTATACGAGTGATCAAATGTCACTCATAAAAGATCGGGATCGCGTGTGCACGGACGAGTGGATGCGCGCGCGCGTTTGGATGCACACGAACAGGTTTGAATGAACACGTACACAGAGATTCGAAGATGTAATGACACTATTCCATAAGGCGTTCCCGTCTAAGTGAACACACTTTTCACGGGAGAGGAAAACAGAACGAAAAACCTCCACGTGTTGGCATGGCTATAATCCGGATGGCGACTATGCGCTTATGGTGGTGACGGACGTCTAGGCGAGAGTCACTGCTGGTGGCTCGTCTGTCTAACGCACGCGAAATGCACATGCGGCCGGTGTACGCACTCCAGCGCGCACTTTTGACACGGAGCAGTGCACGCATTCATCGGATTGCTGCGCACGTAAACAATTGGGTAAAATAAGCCAATCACTAAACTGCAGTTCCATGTGGCATGATTTACACCAATCAGAAGTTAGTTTAACAACCCTCCTCGTGTGCCAATGCATACATACGTGCGCACGTGCTTTTCGCGCGTCCTGATCTCAGACTGCCACCGTATTCCGTGCACGCGAGGTAGGCGGAGAGTCGTGGCGTTGACACTGCTAGTGACGCTGATCCGTGGGCAATCAATAAATTCAAAATGTCAAACCCGAATCATCTTTTTGTGGGAATCAGAATTGTTCAACTTACTAAACGTGCATGTAAATAAATTTAGTAACAGCAGTTGAAACAGGACAAAAGGAATGGGATTTCAATCGTGCCGAAAATGGATGCAAGTGCATTGAACCACGATTAAATTTTGTCTAGGCACTAGTCACTCGGAATTCCGGTAAATCTACGTGCATCGCATAAAACCCTCAATCACTGAAAATCCTATCGAAGCATGTGTTAAAAGAGAACGGGGAAATAACTTTCAATATGTTATTGGATAAGCATCTGTGGATAGTCCATGTACGGTAAAGGTTCACGGTTTCACCGGCATTTTCGGGTAATCAATGGGGTGAGGATGATTTCACGTGACCACCAACTAGCTGCCCTCGAGAAATCGATGATGAACATTAAACTTTGCCTACACTTTACAGTTTCTGTTTGTACAACTACGCACTTTTGTGCGCCGGTTTTGGTTGCTGTTTTTGGCTGCCCGAATGGATGAAACAGTAGGATTAAGACGGGAAAGTTGAGAGTAGAATGAAAGAGAACATGGAGAATTTCAATGGACTAAGGTTGCATAGAAATTGAGACAATGAACTCAAAGGGCTCCATCAGAGAAGAGATGGGCCCACTGGTACTTGAGGGAGATAGGGTTATAACTGAAAACCAGAGTAAAGCTGATGCATTATGCGCCTACTTTAGCAACGTGCAAAGGCTAGACGCTGGTGAGTCAAGTGCTCCTCAGCCCTCGGCAACAGATGTAGTGGAGAAACTACGGGTAACACTCGAACAAGCATCTGAGGTACTAGGCGGTCTTAAGGTATCAAAGGCTCCGAGACCAGACGGAATCAGTCCAGCGATCATCAGGTCGATTGCTGATATAATCGCTGGGCCAATTTGCAGCCTTTTTGGAGCATCACTAGCTGAAAGGAACTTACCGTCCGACTGGAGAACAGCTTCGGTAGTAGCCATACACAAGGGCGGTAAAAAGACAGAGGTAAGGAACTATCGACCTGTTAGCCTAACTAGCGTGCTATGCAAGGTACAAGAGAAGATAGTTAGAACGCACCTAGTAAAGCATCTATAGCGGAACATACTCATGACAGAGGCACAACATGGTTTCGTTAAGCAACATTCATGCCTAACAAACCTGTTGTGCTTTTTGGAGGATGTTACTGCAAAAATAGATGAGGGTAAAACCGTAGAGGTTTGCTACCTGGATTTCAGCAAGGCTTCTGATTCAGTGAATCATCGCCTGCTGTTGACAAAGTTAGAACGATTCGGAATCCAAGGGCAGTTACACATGTGGATAAGTGTCTTTCTCTCACAACGATCATTCCATGTGACGGTTGGTGAGAAAAGGTCAACACCAGTTCAGCTGACTAGCAGAGTTCCGAAAGGCTCAGTATTAAGACCGCTTCTATTCCTTCTCTACATAAATGACTTGCCAAGCACTCTGATATCATCATGCTACATTTTTGCAGATGACGTCAAAGTGGTTAGTTCGATTGGAAGAAGTGATCTGGAGCGGGATTTAGAACAGGTAGCTAGATGGGCAAAGGAATGGGATCTAAGCCTTAACGCCACCAAGAGTCATGTGCTCACAGGGGCGTTTTACGGACTGCAAGTTCACTCGGATGAGCACGAGTTAGCTATTGAACCTGCAACCAGGGTAAAGGACTTGGGGGTAGTGGTGTCGAATAATTTTCAGTGGTCTGACCAGTGTGCAGTAGCAGCGCGTAAGGCTAGAGGGGAATTATTCAGACTACGGTCCATGCCAACGACCGGAAGTCTTCATTCCCGTTTACAAAGCCATAGTCAGACCACATCTAGAGTATTGTTTACAGGCTTGGTCACCCTTATTCAAAGAGGATACTGCCTGTTTAGAGAAAGTACAGAGATTGGCCACCAGAATGGTTGAAGACCAGAGAGGAAAAACATATGAGGAAAGACTAGAGGCTCTAGACCTTTTCTCATTAGAAAGAAGGAGACTGAGAGGGGACCTGATAGAAACCTTCAAAATCATGAAGGGAATATCGGGTATAGGAGCGGACACTCTCTTCAAATTAGCTCCACAACACGGCACTAGGGGGCATGAGTTCAAGCTCATGAAGCAAAGATGTCGACTAAACATGCGAAAGCACTTTTTCAGTAATAGGAT